TTGACCCAGAGGCCTGGTTTATGCGCGCGACACGGCTTCTCAAAGTGGTCAACATTTCTATGAAGTTTCATTTTAATTCCTTTAAGGGTGTAGGAGATATGCTCCGGATAAAAATCGGGAGCAGAACCGCCCGCCAGGAGGAAACTATAATACGACCCGTTTTTCAAACGGGCATTAAAAGTTAAAGATATTACAACTATCATAAAAATAAACCAAGATAAAGACTGCCGTCATAAAAATTCAGAGATAACATTGTCGTCATGAAACAATTCAAGATAATACTGCCGTCATGAAAGAAATGGAGATATTACTGCCGCAAAGAAACAATCCTAGATAATACAAGTCATGAAACAATCAGAGATAATACTGCCGCCAAGAAACAATCCGATATAATACTACAGTCATGAAACAATCCGAGATAATACTGCCGCCATGAAACAAATGGAGGTTATACTGACGCAAAGAAACAATCCGAGATAATGCAGCCGGAAGTAAACAATTCGAGATAATACTGACATCAAGGACGCCTTAAAGGCTTCCGGTAAAATGGCGACCAAAAAAACCAAAATACATTTTTAGAAGAGAAAAAGTTGACAATTAGCTGTAAGATATGTTCTGAAAAGATGGATTTTTCTCTGAATACTAACTGAAATGTGTAGTTATGTGTGCTTATGTGTACTAACGCATCTGATATGTGACCAATTTTGTAGACATCAAGGTCATTTCAAGAACAGCGGCCATTTTTCTTTGTTTTCATATCCAGCCATACACGTAAATATCGAACAAGGTGAACTATTTACGTTCAAAGACTACGTGTTCATTGTACTCAAAACTTGAATAACACATACAAATAGGATAACATTTATTAACTTGTTAACATCCTGGGAATTGCAATATATTTTTACAGATAGTGTCAAATATATCAGAAAATATCGTTACTGAGACTCCATCAACTGGTGTCAAACGAACTATATTAACCAGACTATTACCCCGCAGAGCCTTCTTATTGACGCTCCAAGCCCAAGAAGAACTCGGAATTCTCTGCCAGATATACCTACTGTGTGCCGAAAAGAATCAATCATAGTACCTGATATAGCCTCAATAATCCAAGCAGCAGTATCAAGAACACCTGTAATTGAAGCATTGTCAGACGCCAAGTTGCCAGTACTAACTTAGGTAATAGAATAAACCTCTCTTAAATAAAATGGAAAGTCAGGAAAAAGAAACGATGAAATCAGAAATTTTAGAACTTACACAATAAAATGAAAGCTTGAATTTGACTATTAGCACCAATGAAAAGGAAAATGAATGCTGGAAGAAGAAACTAATCGAAACCAATGATCAAGAAGAAAATCTCGAAACCAGCTTGGATGAGTAAGACCAGCACATGCTTGATATATGCCAGAAAATGAAAAATACTCCACCGGTATCATTAGATCAACTTGAAAGATCACTTATTAATGGAAAAAAATAAAGATAAAAAATATCAAAACATTGTGAAATTTAATTCATACAGAACCAAAGATCTAGTTTACAGTAATATAAAGGCACTCAAACAACGTAAAAAACCTGAGTTTATTATATTCATTTCTGAAGACCTCACTCGTGAACGGCAACGCATTGTGCACAAACTATCATATTTCCGCAGAGAAAAATATATTCACTCGTATTGGACGCTGGACGCAAATATCTTCTATAAAGAGAACGAAAAAGGTAAACGTAGATCAGTTAAAGCAATCAATGAAATAGAGAACTTTGTTCCTGACCCAGACCCATAAAATCATTTTCAGGCAATGGTGAAAAAGCCCTGAAAGGGTTTGTGCCAAATTAATGCTGCTTCATGTACATGATTGAAATTATAAAGTGCAGACAACTAACGCCGCAGAATTCTTGAACATACTTACCATACAGAAGTTATTTTGAATGTATAGTTAAAAGAATACGTACAAGTATTTTTTTGCACTTATTTACATGTGAATTTTCCATCTTGCCTTTTATTAAGTGCTCATACACTCACCTTGTGTGTTCCAATAACACCGTAGGGAACGTGTTACAGTATCGCGTTTTTCTGTTACAGTATAGAATTTTCAAGATGGAGGATTATTTATGAGAAGAGAGGTAGGTGATTTTTATTCGGGTCCATACTACTAGTAGTTTAGTTTCTAAAAGTTGCTTTTGTGCTTTGCTTGTAAGGAACAGAATCCGGTATCTAGTCATATATTTCTTCAGACCCTACACCGCAGATTTATCTCTATATTGTCTCAGAAATGTGCAGATTTGACAGTTTAAAATTTTGAATCGAGAGACCAACGCATTTTTCTCCCATTCCGACATTATTTAAGCATGCCTGGATAAAGTAAATCATTGATAAAATCCCAATTGACACGTAAAAATCGTGACTGTGCATTGTATTCAAATCAGTTTACTATTTTTTTTGTTATTAGAAATGTGTATTGAATTCGATTGTATACACAGTTTTATTTTTGTGTACATGGAACGGTATCATTATATTATATTGAAATAATAATGTTAATTTTACAATGCTATTTTTCATCTTTGAAATGAAGATATTTTATCGCAATAATATATACTCCAATATATGCGTTTATTATATACTTATTAAAGAAGTATTGAGAGTATTGAAGAAATAAAATATATATTTTTTTATTTTGCGTATTTTCAGTGCAAAAAAATGTTTTCACTGCATTGGAGCATATTTTACGTATTTTCACTGGTGTCTTGCATAAATTTAGCTAATAGACAAAACTAAAAGTGAATTCCTTCTAATCATAAGGTTAAACAAAATGTATATGATAAACAAAAAATTCGAACATATTTTACTGACTAATAATTATTTATTTTTGTCTTGTGGTATGAAAATTATTACATTTCAATCATGGCTCCCGCAACAATTGAAATGTTTTATTTTCATGTCACCCAGTCGAAATGGGTCTTGAATTGATAGTTAAAAAAATAAATATCCTCTAGGTATATATTTATATGAGTATGTGTGTGCTTTTGTTTCACTCATGTACGTGCGTACGTGCATTGACAAAAAACAATCTACATGTATGATATTTTGTGACATTTTGAAAGCGTTTGATAGGATATGGCGCAAAAGGCAATACGGTATTGATGGTTATATATTAAATAGGTTGAGAAACTATCTTTTAAATCGACACCAAAAAGTTTTTGTAAATTCAATTTTCTTAAGTGAGAAAATAACTACTGCGGGCGTCCCCCAGGGATCAGTCCTGGGTCAGTTGCTATTACAATCTACGTTAATGATTTTGCTGATTATCTATTAAGCATAACCCGCATCTTTGCAGATGGTAGTTCGTTGTCGATTTCCTCTAGCAAGATGACTTATATAAAAGCACACTAAATAACGCTCTAAATACTCTTCAAGAATGGTCTCATAAGTGGCTTATTAAATTTAATCCTGAAATTATGCTGCCAATATGTAATACTCTGAGATATAACTGCCGTTATTAAGCAATCCGAGATAGGTTTGCCGTCATGAAACAAACCGAGATAATACTTCCCTCATGAAACAATCCGAGATAAAACTGCTGTTAAAAAACAACCCTAGATAATTCAGCCGACAAGAAAACAATCCGACAAGAAATTGACGTCATGGAAACATTCCGATATAATACTGCCTCCATGAATTAATCAGATATAATACTTCCCTCATGAAACAATCAGAAATAAAACTGTTGTCATAAAAGAATTCTAGATAATTCAGCCGGCAAGAAAACAATCCGACAAGAAATTGATGTCATGGTAACATTTCGAGATGATACTGCCGCCACGAGACATTGCAAGATAATACTTCCCTCATCAAACAATCATAGATACTTCTAAGAACATGAAAAAAAGATAATACTGCCGTTAACATGAATAATTTTGTATCTGACATTTCGGATGAAATTTTTCGAGTCATGAAATAATCCTTCACGACATAATACGAGGTGTTAATAATATCATCAAATATGCAATGATATAACTATTATCATAAAAATAATCCTCCATGATAAAGCAGCCGCCATAGAACAATCCGAGTCAAAACTGCCGCCAAGAAATAATCCGAGATAACACTGCGTCATGAAACAATCCAGGTTGATAATGCCGTAATAAAACAAAAATAGAAATAATACTGCCGCCATGAAATAGGCCGAAGTAAAGTTGCATGAATGAGACAATCCGAGATTATACTACCACAACAAGAAACAATCCGAGATAAAACTGCCGCCATAAAACAGAATAAAGATAATACTGCCGCCATGGAATAATTCGAGATAATATTGATTACAGCTGCCATTAAACAATGCGAGCTATTAATGCAGTCATGAAACAATCCGAGATAAAACTACTGACATGAAACAGTACGAGATAATACAGCCGTAAAGAAACAATCCAAGATAAAACTGCAGTCAGGAAATAATCAGAGACAGTACTGCAACCATGAAACAATCCAAGATAATACGGACGCTAGAAAACAGTCCGAGATAATACTATATCATAAAACTGTCAGAGATAATACTGCCGTCATAAAATTATCCAATATAACACTACCGTCAAGAAACAGTCAGAGATATAATCGATTTCATGAAACAATTCGAGAAAATATTGCCGTCACGAAACAATCCGAGATAATACAGCCGCCATTAGACAGTACGAGCTATTAATACAATCATGAAACAATCGAAGATAATACTGCGATCATGAAATGATCCGAGATCTTACTGCCGTGATGAAATAATTCTAGTCAATTATGTCAATAAACGATCCGAGATAAAATTGCACTCATGAAATAATCCGAGATAAAACTACAGCCATAAAACAATCCGAGATATTACTGCATTCATGAAATAATCTGATATTTTACTACCGTAATGGAAGAGTTTGGGATATAAGGGTGAGGGTTGTATTGTTACTTTTGATTCGGTAATTTGAGCTCTTATTTTAGGTGAATCATAATTTAGATTTTATTTCAGATAAGCCACATATCAACAACGACTGCAATACAACACACTGATTTTACAGCTTGGTGGAATGAGATTGAACAGGTGAGCACATTTCGCTTTCATAGTAGTATTATTATCTTTGTAACTTTCAATAAAGTTTTAAATGTAGAAATAATATTTTAAAAGGCATAAATTCTTAAAAATGTAAAAATTTAATGGGATATTAAATTCAAATTCAATGATATAATCCATATAATCGTATAAATGGTTGACGCTACATGTACATGTACGTCAAAACAAGAGAAGAATTTCAAACGAGCCAATTTCCCCAAAGAGACATTTGAGCGCCCAATTTGATGTATGTAAGCTTTTCAAATTTTATTATTTTAGACTTAACGTCCTCAGTGGAGTTCCTTTAATTGTAAGATATTTTTTGTAAATTTTGGAAATCTCCAAACACAGAGTGAATAATTTTCACTTATCTCTGCGAACGCTTCGTGTATTTAGACTTAAAAATATACGCATTTCAAGTGTCAGTATTTTAAAAGCGTAACGATTTTCAGGTGTCGAGTACTTTAAGTGTTTCACGTTTTTCAGTTGTCAGGTGCTTTCAATATTTCTCGAAATGCAGGTGTCAAGTACTTTCAGAGTTTCTCGATTATCAGGTGTCAAGTACTGTCAATGTTTCACGAGTTTAAGTTTTCAAGTACCTTCAGCTAGTGTTTCTCGATTTTCAGATGTAAAGTTCTTTCAGAGTTTCTCGATTATCAGGTGTCAAGTACTGTCAATGTTTCACAATTTTTAGTTGTCAAGTTCTTTCAGTGTTTCACGAGTTTCAGTTGTCAAGTACTTTCAGTATTTCTCGATTTTCAGGTGTCAAGTACTTTCAGTGTTTCACGAGTTTCAGTTGTCGAGTACTTTCAGTATTTCTCGATTTTCAGGTGTAAAGTACGTTCAGTATTTCTCGATTTTCAGGTGTCGAGTACTTTAAGTGGTTCACGATTTTCAGTTTCGCGACGTTTTTCAGTTCGTATTTTCGTCAGGTTTTAAAGTCCGTTATTCAGTGTTTCACGAGTTTCGACTTCATTTTTCGCGTTTTTCAGTTTTTGTCAGTGTCTTTCATTTGAATTTCTCGATATTCAGATGTCAAGTACTTTCAGAGTTTCTCGACTATCAGGTGTCAAATACTGTCAATATTTCACGAGAGTTAGTTGTCAAGTACTTCCAGTGATTCACAATTTTCAGTTGTCAAAGTTTTCAGTGTATTACGATTTTCTGATTTCCATTCAGTGCGTTACAATTTACAAGTATCAGTTATTCCAGTCCTTTACAATTTTCAAGTACAAATTATATCAGTGCGTTTCACATTCAGGTGTCCAGTTATATCCGTGCATCACAATTTTCAATTACCAGTAATTCCAATATGTCCCAATTTTCAAGTTTCTCTGAATTTCAATGCTTTATAGCGTTTAACAATTTTCAGGTTCCCCGTCCATTCCGTGCTTCCCAATTTCCAGGATTCAAGTAATTAAAAAAAAATCACGATTTAAGGGTTTCCAGAATTTTCAGTGCTTCATAGTTTACAGGTTTTGCAATATTTTGCGTTCTTCACTATTTTAGTACTTTCAATGCTGCCGAAGTTTGATGCTTTTAGTAATAATAGTGCTTCAAAATTTTCAGATTTTACAGTACATTCATGCTTAAATATTTCAGGTTTCCGGTATTTCCAGTGTTTTTCGAAGCTTTCAATGCATCATGATTTTTCAGTTTTTAACAGCTTTAGTATTTTACAATTTCCAGGTTTCAAGTACGTGCTGCAATCGACTTTCCAAAGATATAAGTGACTGCCTAAAACATCACTGACTTTCCATTACAACCAGTGGATTCCATAGAAACCGTTGACTAACAGTGACTTCAAAAGTTACCATTTACATTCTTTAGGAACAAGCCAATTCCACATCAGCTGTTATTTTCCTAAGCAAAACTTATTGATTGGCAAGATGTATTTTTCTTCATTTACTGATGTTCCATAGCAAGCAGTGATTTCCAATAACAAATGAATTTTTTTATCAACATGTCACTTCTATAGAAGCCATTGACTCCCATTGCATTCATTGTTTCCCATAGCATACAGTGACTTTCCATATTTCGAATTTCCGTAGGAACCATTTTATTTCTTAGCTACCATTAACTTTCCATAGAAACTAATGATTTTTAATCAAGGAATCAAACATTGACTTTCATAGATACCTCTAACTTCCAAAGCCACCAATAGTTTTGTATAGCCACCAGTGAATTCTTACTAATGATTTTTCTCAGCAGTAACAAACTGTAATCGTTTTTTTACATTTGCACAATTTCAGATGCAGATATGGTCTTTGTGATATCAGTAAAAGATTAAGACTTAATATCTGTTTTTCATTGATATTAAACAGTGTATATTGTCCATTGTCATCAAGAGCCTTTATAATAAGTAGAGCCATCATGACTCTTGTTCATCAAATTTGTATTTCATTTATAATATTTTATAAGCAGATAAATTATTGGGTCAACATCTTCGATAAACTCTTGAAAAAGATCAAACCTCCAAACTCAAATGATAAAGCTGTTATTTAATTCCGTTTTAGATACTTCTTCGGCGAAGTTCTTCAGCTTTGAATATTCAGCAAACAATTGCCGAATTCAAAATTTGCCCTCTTGATCTGGAAGAAGAGAGAAGGATACAGAAAGAAATAAAAAAATGGAAGGACTATGAAGACGATGTTGACCGTCTGAAACAGGAAATGACAGCCGTGAAAGAAAATGTATCTGACATGAAAAAAGACATTGAAGACGTAAAGGGAAATGTAACTGAAGTAAACAAAGACATTGAAGGCATAAAGAAAATGGTAACTGACGTGAAAAGAGACCTAGAAGGCGTAAAAGAAAATATTACTGAAGTGAAGAAAGACTTTAAAGACGTGAAGGCAAATGTAACTGATGTGAAGAAAAGCCTAGAAGACGTAAAAGAAAATGATACTGCAGTGAAGAGAAACTTTGAAGGCATTAAGAAAAATGTAACTGACGTAAAAAGAGACCTAGAAGGCGTAAAAGAAAATATTGCTGAAGTGAAGAAAGACTTTAAAGACGTGAAGGCAAATGTAACTAACGTGAAGAAAGGCCTTGAAGACGTAAAAGAATATGATACTGCAGTGAAGAGAAACCTTGAAGGCATACAGGAAAATGTAACTGAAATGAATAAAGACCTTGAAGACGCAAAGGAAAATGATACTGCAATGAAGAGAGACATTGAAGACATTAAAGAAAATGTAACTGACGTGAAGAGAGACGTTGATGAGATCAAAAAGCGGCAAGGGACAGGTTTGTTACTTTTTAATCTTAAATATTTTATTGTTTAATGAATTCTACATTATTGAGATATCTTTAGGAAGGCTGAGAAAAGAACATACTAGAGTACTAACAAAATTTTTGGATTAAAAGATTTCATGACAACAGTTATAATTCTATAAATCAATGAATACAAACATGTACTTCTTTAGCGTTTTGACCCTGACGTTTCCAATTCATGATAACTATCAGCTCGTTTATTTTTTCGTTAATAGCTTTGACAAACTTCATAAATCTCTGCTGGTCCGTTTGATATAGTAAATAATTCCGTTTCCAGACAATTGCCAGAAATATAAACAATATAACAGTATTTAAGACAAACGAGAATTGTCTCTTCCGAAGATTATAATCGATTCCTTCCTCTTTGCAAATATAACAAATGTAATTTCTTGCGGTAAATATTAATTGTTAATCTACAATATTTCTAGGTTTTTAGTCACAAACAACTTCTGAAATTTGAAAATGTGCCGCAATGATAGATACTATCAGATTAACCGAAATTTCATAACATTTGTGTGTACTTTGTCAAAAGATACATGCACATCAATCAGTCCCGTGGATGATACGAGTGAATAATAACAATGTTTATCAAATGATCTTTACGGAAGTTAATGACGTGCCAGATCAATATTGTTGGACAGTACCAGTATATATATTTCCTTCAATATCCAAAAAGGAAATTACACCATTATAGATGGGGATTGAGTCGTTTATATTTCCCTTCTTAGTAATAGAAAGAGCACCGAAACACGAGGCTATCTGATTTGTACGAGGGGGCGTAGCCCCCGAGTATTAATCAGATTGCCGAGTGTTTTGGTGTTCTTTCTCTTTTGTATCATAGTCAAACATAAAAGCACTTTCCCTGTTGTCACAATATGAAACCCCGGCAAAAATGAACCAATGAACGAACATCTGAATATGACATTTCTGTCGCTTTCCCTTTCTCTGCCGTCACAATATGTAAACCCCAGCAAAAATGAGCCAATCAATGGGCATGTTCTGGAGTGCGGGTAACTAATACCCGCACTCCAGTTAACGCACTGTGCATGTATATGTATACGATTTAACCCTGACACATTTTCAACAGAAAGGTCTCCAAACTATGATACAATGTACATGTACAATATTTGACAAGTACTGTTTGTCTAATGTTAAAGTGACGTTTCATTTTACGTGAACACAAGTCACTGATCCATAAATTGCCCCCCCCCCCCTTTGAGGCCTCAAACAATGTCTAAATACCCTATTTAGGCCCCAAACAATGTTTTTCGTTTGAGAAATGTTTTTAAGAAAAGTGACCAACTACCTACATACCTATCTACCTATACCTATACCTACCTGTTTGTTTGTTTTGGGTTTTACGTCACACCGACACAGTATAGGCACATGTTCCAGCTTTACTGGTGGAACAAGATCTTAGGTGCCCTTCCGTGCATTATTTCAGGCACGAACGGGCACCTGAGTAGAACCACAGACGTTCCGTAAGCTAGCTGGATAGCTTCCTCACATGAAAGAATCCAAAGTCTCTGTCGGGATTCGAACCCACAGCGGTGAGGGGCAAGTGGTTTGAAGTCAACGCTCCTACCTACCTACATATACTTATACCTACCTACCTACCTAAACTGCGTAGTGCAGTTCGCCAACTAATCAATGTCTTGACTAACTACATTGTCAATTTGGGAAATGAGTACAGCGTTGAAGGTTTCATTTTCACTGGAAAGGTAACAGATGAATAATATATCAATAACACCTGTCATATGTTGCGGTTCAGATCGGAATATCCGCACCAAGGGGATCACGCCCACTGGGCGGTAACAATGCTTGACGACAGTAATTTCGGAACATTTTAGTGGTCACTGTTGATATAATTATTGCACACTTAAGTGGTAACTGTTACCTATAGCACACACCGAAATGGTAACTATTATCTACGACACACATAAGCGGTTACAATTATTATACAGTACACTTTTATGGTAACTGTTATCATACAGCACATGTTTCTGGTAACTGTATCATACAGCACATGTTTATGGTAACTGTTATCATACAGCACATGTTTATGGTAACTGTATCATACAGCACATGTTTATGGTAACTGTTATCATACAGCACATGTTTATGGTAACTGCATCATACAGCACATGTTTATGGTAACTGTTATCATACAGCACATGTTTATGGTAACTGTTATCATACAGCACATGTTTATGGTAACTGTATCATACAGCACATGTTTATGGTAACTGTTATCATACAGCACATGTTTATGGTAACTGTTATCATACAGCACATGTTTATGGTAACTGTTATCATACAGCACATGTTTATGGTAACTGTTATCATACAGCACATGTTTATGGTAACTGTATCATACAGCACATGTTTATGGTAACTGTATCATACAGCACATGTTTATGGTAACTGTTATCATACAGCACATGTTTATGGTAACTGTTATCATACAGCACATGTTTATGGTAAATGTTATCATACAGCACATGTTTATGGTAACTGTTATCATACAGCACATGTTTATGGTAACTGTTATCATACAGCACATGTTTATGGTAACTGTTATCATACAGCACATGTTTATGGTAACTGTTATCATACAGCACATGTTTATGGTAACTGTTATCATACAGCACATGTTTATGGTAACTGTTATCATACAGCACATGTTTATGGTAACTGTATCATACAGCACATGTTTATGGTAACTGTTATCATACAGCACATGTTTATGGTAACTGTTATCATACAGCACATGTTTATGGTAACTGTATCATACAGCACATGTTTATGATAACTGTATCATACAGCACATTTTAGTGGTTACTTCTATTATACAGCACAGATTCAATTACAATGGTTCAAGTATAGGTATCATAATTCTTATAACTGATTTGATTAAATTGTTTATGTTTCAATTATTCTTCAGATGAAACAAGGCAGGGCAGACAGAAGAAAGCAAACATTTTTCAGAGGTTTTTAGAGTGGAGACGTTATAACCGGATGAAAACAAGTAAAATTTTACTTAAATACGCTATGCATGTGACTTTCAATTATTGATACACAGTCAAACTTTTGTTAGAGACAAACTCCGATTTAAGACAAGTAAAATTTTACTTAAATACGCTATGCATGTGACTTTCAATTATTGATACACAGTCAAACCTTTGTTAAAGACAAACTCCGATTTAAGACCACCCTGTAGTTACAGACCACTTTTTGAGAAACATTCATTGAAAAATGTACATTCCTAATAAATACCTCTTGTCATTCAAGGCCATGCATGTTCTCTCTTTGGATGGTCCTTATTTACCAGTTTGACTGTACTGTGTTATAAGCTTGACTTTTTGCGGGAAAATCATGTTTCCGTTCTCGTTCCAGTCCATAACAATATGTTGTTTTTAATATTTTGTTGGAGTATTCCTTACTTTGTGTCATCCGATGAGTAAGAAAATATCGAGTGTGACTCCCGCTAGGCGGTGTTTATCATTATTATCATTATTTTTTTTTTTATGTACACACGATTTCTTCACCTGCCGAAACATAATAATTGAAAACGTGAAATTATTTTAATAGAATGTAACTTGATATGCAAGTTTGCTAATGTCTTGTATCAATAAAGTACAGGAAAATTCAACAGCATCCTAACTAGAATAAAATGAGCCGCGTCATGACAAAACCAACATAATGGGTTTGCGTTCAGCATGGATCGAATCCAGCCTGCGCATCCGTCTGGATCCATGCTGGTCGCACACCCATTATGTTGGTTTTGTAATGGCACGGCTCAACTGACCTTCCAATAAATGAAAATATGTAATGCTAAATTGTTTAACGAGAAATAGTTGGAGTTAAAAGGATATAACATCAATATAAAATGTTTGTTCTTAAGAAGATTGGAATTGTACAAATTATTCAGAACACTGCATTTGAAGATCATTAAATGTTTTGAACTTCCGTCCCTTCAGCTGTCCTTTGATGTGTAGAAAAACATAATCATAGGACAGAGTACCAGTTGTGCACCAAACTAAATCATGAACACTTCTTTATATAGAGGATATTGTATGAGTGTAGTTTAATACTAAATTTATTGAACGAGTTAAATAAAATCATATTATGCGAGCCTTTGGCGAGCATAATATTGTTTTATTTAACGAGTTCAATAAATTTAGTATTGAATCTACACGAATATAATATTTTTTTTTATCACATATATAAAATAAAAACAGTAAACTGTTAAAATGGGTAATTTTTAAATGACGCGCACATATAGTGTAACGCTAACATTGGCGCGCTTTTATATAACGCTATGTTTATATATAGCGCAAATGACGTCACGTCAAAGTGTCATTACACTAGTGTAATATCGTTTTTATTAAATAGAGGATATTTGTTTAGTTCAGTGTAAGATCGGAATATATTTCACCGAGTGAGCACCAAAAGGTATATTTCACGAATGGCGCAGCCACGAGTGAAATATGAACTTTTGGTGTTCACAAGGTGAAATATTAAGAGGATATTTTTTCGTTTGAGTGAAATATGGAATATATTTTCACGAAACATGATAAAATGCCACATATTTTCACGAGCCGGGACGGCGAGTGAAAATATGTGGCATTTTATCATGTTGAGTGAAAATATATACCATATTTCACGAAAAACGAAAAAATAACCTTTTTATTTAATTTCATTATCAAAGAAAAATGGTTACGAACCCTATTGCTTGCTACGCAACTGCAATTGTACAGCGCGCAGCAATATATTATTGCGTCTTGTTTTGCACACAATATTTGGCGCTACATTGTGACGTCACGTAAACAACTGTTTAAACGTCTGTACAGCGTTAATAACTGAATTAAAGATTAATAATATCTGTCATATGTTGCGGTTCGGACCGGAATATCCGTCCCGAGGGTCGCCCATTGGGCGGTTACGAGGCTTGCCGAGTTACCGCCCATGGGCGGGTTCCCGAGGGACGGATATTCCGATCCGAACCGCAAACATATGTTAGATATTTTTTCTTGCATATTCTGCCATATTATTTCATATTTAAAATGGTTTACCTCAATATGATATATGTTCATGGAAATTAAAGTCATTTCATCCCTAACTATTTTCTTACAATAGCGTATGAACTTACAACTTAAATAACAACAGTGAAATGACGTCATCATAAGCACATATTTCCCTTCTAAAACGACGTCATTTTAACGCGGTTCATTCATAAAGTGCGCTAAAATGACGTTGTTGTTTGGCACGCGACTCATCTGGCACCCCCCATGCCAGATGAAATTTCCGGCATGGGTAAAACTCACGGAAACGCCAGTCCGATATGCAAGAAATTGGTGTCCGGATTTATTTTCTTAGTTAGACCATTTTTTATCATTCTAGATAGTTTTCAAAGCAAAATTCAACAAAAATTTGATTTGTATTTATCAGATTTTTCAAACAAAATGGCGAAAGAAGTCCCTTAAAATGAATAATAGTTTTGACTCCGCCCACTTTCATATTTATATTTCATATTTATTTTTAAAAAATATGAAATATATTTGACTGATATAGCACCATATTTCATGGGTAAAATTAAATAAATTTCGATCTTACACTAAACTAAACAAATTTTCTTTTTATTACATGCAAAGAAACGTTTTAAAAAGACATTAAACCTAATACTGAATGAAAAGCGCGCCAAATACTAATACAACGTGACGTCATTTACGACGTCACGTCATTTAGTTGGTACCCAGTACTGTGCACGCTGGTATTTCAATGAAACAACGTAAGGGGCTTAAATTCAAAACAGTGAAATTATCAAAGTGGTAATTTCACTGTTTCAAACAGTGAAATTACCAGTTTTATATCACTGATATATTTCTATTAACCACCTAAAACCATGTAATAAATTTCTATAAACCACCTTGTGATAAATAGAGAATACCATGCTAGTGTCTGATATTATAAAATTTATCAGGCAAGGCTAAGAAAAAAATGAAGGGCGAGGCTTTATCATGCAACTGCTATGGTAACTGCCCGATAACACTTGCCTGATAATTATTTTTTAAAATCACGTCAGTAACCTGATATCAAAAATTAGTCCCGCCCATTTTAACGGACTTTTTTCAATTGCTTATATTCTCATTTTCATCAGCATGTGAATTCTACAATGTAATCTCATACCCTTACAAGTCTTAAATCAATATGCGAAATTTATTTATTTATTATTTCGATTTCAATTACGAATAAATTAGATAGCGAATATTTTTAGCACCATCTAAATGAAGTGACGTCATAATTTATATTGCAAATGACATCATCGATGTTCACGTCATACTATATCCTGAAATATTCGGTTCTCGATAATGTAACAATAAAATGCAAAAACAACAAATGGAAAAAAGACTCACCTTTATTCTAAATACATCATTGAATCCATAAATATATTCTCTTTAAGTTTTTTAATTGTTAACAATCAATGAAATAACGAATAAAAAATATTTTCAAAAAATATAACAACTGTCAAAAAAGGATTTCCAAAATGGCGTCTTGAATTCTCGATAACTCGAGATAAATCTCAAAACGAGGCTGTATTAAGTATGGTGGCCCAGTGTTGACATGCTATAAACAACAGTTGCAGTAGAACACTGTATTCTTTCTCACAACACGGACTGGAGAGCAGTATTTAAGGTGAACCCAATGGGAACAAGTAGCATTATCACACTGTGCCCAGTGGGTGAATTCTATTGCACCATGGGAATGCTTGTCTACATAATATTGATGACATTGGCAACACTTATCTTCATCAGGTATTTCTGATTCATTTTCACTATCAGAGAGGTCTGATTTTTCAGAAAGTTCAATGTTTTGTTTGGATGGACCTGGCTTTTGTTTATCATTTATTTGAAGATTGAAGCTGGTGGCTGAATTCTTTTTGTTCTTAGGAGTTTTAGTTTTTTTCTTTTTAGGATCATTTGAACTAATTTTACTGTTACTTTCATCAATGTATTTTTTCATTTTTTCTACAGTTTCACCTTCCAATGCTTTTCCACCAACAATACTATTTATGCTTTTACGTTTTTTCTTCATGATTTTTATATGTACATCACCACCTTTCTTATCAAAAAAGTTATTTTCTGCTGTTTCAGATTTTTTTGTGATCTCCTGATGCTGTCACTTCATCATCAACTATGTAAAGTTCAGATGGTTTGATTTTACTTTTTTAAAAGTTCAACCATAGAGGACGAGTTCTTGAATGGATAAATGCCTGCCTTATTGAAAGAAGCTTGTAAATTTAAAGGACTTAGAGCAAATGAGTATGCCTTGCAAGCAAGTGAGCAGACATCATAACGAGTGACAACTCTGTGATGTGTTCTGTGATGTGTTCTAGCAAATTTAGAACATTCTTGAGCATATTTCAGTTGCAGGGGACCAAAACATCCAATGTCCATAGGCTGGAGGATATGAGAGGTGTGTGGTGGCAAGACAAACAGAACAATATTTTGCTGTTTAGCCCATTCAACAAGATCTACTGATATGTGACTACGATGACCATCATACAGTATAAGAATTGAGTCATCTGATCTTCCCTGCAAAACTTCATAAAATGATTTTGCAAATAATCTTTAAAAACAACACTATTTGACCAACCACTTGGTGTCATGATACCATCAGCACCTGGACTTTTTCCTTCCAAGAGACCATCTAACATTCGGACACCAGGGAAAACAAAATATGGAGGGATTTGCATTCCAGCTGCATTGCCAGCCCCTATTATAGTGACAGTTTTACCACGCTCAGACATGATAACTTGTGCCTTACAATCTTTTCCACTAACAACACTAGGGGGTTTATATTCAGTATTTATTCCCTTTTCATCAATGTTATAGATAAGGTGCGGTTTGTCAAATAAATCATATTTACGTAAAATTCTTTCAAGTTCATTAAAGTATTTAGTGACAGATTTTTCACTGGCACATTTAGCACGTTGTTCAGACTTGAAGGACGGACAACATTAAGTTC